ACTGTCCGCTCACCTCTTTCGCTGTGGCTTGTGGTCGATATTTGCTTCATCAGAGAATCAGATATGAGGTCAGAGTGAGTGCACCGGCATCAGCCTGCAGGACTTTATTGAAGAGCAGTTTGATTAGATATGTACTGGATATATTAGATTTGCCCTCACTTGAGCTCAGATTCTGATTTCAGCGACCAGACTGCGGTGTCCACACAAACAGACACACACACTCGGGCTGAGGTAGTTTGTCCGCCTGTTTATCTGTCCAGCTGCTTCCTGTCGGGGTTGGCCATGTCCAGCCCGGCGATACGGCTAATGTAATCAGCCAGTTCAGGCTCATTTCCTCCGTCTCTACTCGTATGATTCTGTCTTCATCACACCAGCGCAGTGAAAGCATCAGCTGGGCATGAAGTGAAGAAGTCTTTTTTTTCTGCTCGTGGAGCTTGAAGGGAAAAATAAAATAAAATAAAAATAAAAATTCTTATTTTCTGCATTATGTTAAGAGTATTACCGTGTCCGTGCAGCAAAAGCAGTCCAAAAGTCACATTTAATTAGTCATTCAAACAAACAAAAAAAACGCACATATGTGCAGGGCATATATGATGACGGCGGGCCAGTGGCGAGGTGTGTTGCTGGAGATATAGATTACACGTCAGGCATCAGCTCTGAGCCCCTTTTTGTTTGCAGTGGTGATGGACAGGCTAACAGATGAGGTCAGGCAGGAGTCTCAGTGGACGATGATGGACTTTGAGAGTAGGGAGCAGGTGGAGGAAAGTCTGGGGAGGTGGAGGTATGCTCTGGAGTGACGAGGAATGGAAGTCAGTAGAAGAAAAACTGAATATACGTGTGAGAATGAGAGAGAGAGAGCAACGGGTGTAATAGTGAAGCTGCAAGGAGTGTAGGTAGAGAAGGTAGATGAGTTTGGAGACAAAGTTAGAGAACTAAGGCTGAGATCGTTTCTTGGACATGTGTGGAGGAGGAGGAGCGGATATACTGGACAAAGGGTCCAATATGGCGCTACCAGGCAAGAGGAAAAGAGGAAGACCACAGAGGATCAGTATGCCAGTAGAAGATGCTGGGATAGGGTGAGATGCAGGCAGACTGTAGCCAGCCCCAAAGGGAGCAGAAAAAAGAAGAAGATGATGAAGAATGTCTCATTACATCCACAAAAGATCAACAGATACGAGAGATCATATATCATCAACATGTGTAAACTTGCACCGGATGGGCTTCGGATGCTTTGAGGAAAAACATGGAACAAAAATGATCTTTTCATAAAATTCTTTCAGCTAAGATGTCACAGTTGGAGGAATTTATTTTTTAGCCCTGGAGGTTCACAGTGTTTCTATCAGTTTGAAATTCTGCGTGTGTCTCTGTTGAACAGCTGAGGTGTACATCGGCATGTCAAAACCCGCTGAGGCCACGGCGTGCACGCAGGAAGCCGCCAACCTCTTCCCCACGTCCCACAACGTCCTCTACATGAGGGGGCAGATAGCCGAGCTGAGGGGCAACATAGACGAAGCCAAGCGCTGGTACGAGGAGGCCCTGTCCATCAACCCGACTCACGTCAAGACCATGCAGAGACTGGTAAGACGCTCTGTCCTCCACCTGCCCGCCTGCAGTACCCTCACACCCTGACGGGTTTTGTGTGTTTTTATGTAATTACCTACAGTCTGCCGGGACGGTTAAACCTCACCTGAGGAGAGCAAGTTTGTTTTTTGTTTTCAGTCTGCGCCGTCTGCCCTTGTCAATGCATTCACTCATGTTGGCAGGCCAGAAACGAACAGACCTGCTGATGGAGAGAGTAACACACAAAAATTCTCTCCACAGCAATGGCACCTGAAGGAGGATCAGTACGTCAGTAGTCAGTGTGTCCATCTGACCCGAGTGCAGATTAAAATGTTTTCATGCATTTGGAGGCTTTTGACAATTTGTGTAGTTGGTATTTTAGCTTGAAAACTGGATTTTGTGTTTTTTAGAGTTCTAAAAAAGGGTTCTGCTTGGTCATTGTGGGGAAAGTTTTGAGCTTGTTTGTATCTTTTGAATGCATGTCTGCAGGAAAAAGATGGTGTAGTTGAACATGCCTATAAAGAAAATTGGCTTTTTCTCCAATTTATTCAGCTTATTTAATGTTAAGTGATAATTTAACAATAGATGAAAAGAGTGAAAATAATAAAAGTGAAATAAAGAACTGAGCTGACTGACCCACGGTGGAACACCAGTCTGCAAAAGTTAAATCAGGTAAATCAAAGGAAGTAAAAGCCGAGACTAAAATGAAAAGCACATGAAGAGTACTAAAAAGAAAAGGAGGAGAGATTAAAAGTGCAGTTATGGAACAAAGAGAAGAGAAAGAGTAGGTTGGAAAAAAAATATGATGCAACCTTTAAGTTAAGAGCAACTAAAAACAGGAGGAATTCATGTTTATTTATAAAAGTTAAAAACAACAGGAGTTCAGTCAGAGTGCTTTCCAGGCACGAATAAACAGAAATAATCCGGACAGGACTAAGACGGGTGCACAACTCTGATCCATTTCTTCTCTTCTGGATCTCTTGATGTGCCTGGCATCGTTATTAGTTTAAAGGGTCTCCTACCGGGTTACTCTGCTTAGAATCACTTTTTGATCATCTGCGGAGGCCATGAGGCAGTGAAGCAACCCCAAACCAGATGATTTCATCACCTGCAATGACGCCAACTTACAAGAAGAAGAAACACTTCCCTCATCATACTCACTCGCGCTACTGTAAAAGTAGGACGGCAACCTCTTTGTGACTGGAAGAAGTCGGAGATTGCCAGTTGTGGTGATCACTGGGACACCCTCGATCTTCGACCGCTTTCGATTGGGGTCGCCTTTTGGGAGGAAACCTGTCTCCAGACTTGGACCAACTGCAGTCTTGTTCACAAATAATTTGGGTCACTCTGTGGTCTCCAGCCACTGTTTTCCATTGTTCTGTTTCCATGGGGTTAAAATTCTGTTAAGACACGTGGTTGACAATAAGACACACAAAAAATGGTGGGTGGCACCGAAAAGCACAGGTGTCAAACGTAAGGCCCGAGGGCCAGAATCGGCCCGGCGGAGCCTGCAAGAGTTTTATTTTTAGTGGACAGTCTCAGGAATAAACTAACAAAAGATGAAAGTTGGCTGTACGTGGCCACCCGTGTAAAAGGAGTTTGACATTGCTGCTGTAAACTAATTCCTTGTAACACAGGCGTCGATAAAGACCAAGTGGCCACTCGAGGAACTGCACATTTTGGCACATTAGCTGTTTAAGATTACTTCCATTAGTTTTTCCCATTTGCTGAGTTTGATCTCCACAGCTCTCATGCAAGGAAAAAAAGGGAGTAGAGAGCTCAGACCCAATGAAAATCATCATCCTATAACTGGAAGTGTGTAAAATACGGCAGGTAGTTTGCGGTAGAAGATAAATGACACGGCGCACTGTGTAAATTTGAATCTCTGGTTTTAAATTCTTCATGAATAATAAATGTTAAAGTGAGAGGAGGGTGGCGGTTACCGATATTAAATGTAACTTTAGAGCTTCTTTTTAAATGAAGCCAACTGCTGAATCATTGACACACAGCATGATAAAAAAGGAGACGTTCTCTTCTTCTCTTGTTGTTTTCTCTGTTGCAGGGTCTGATCCTGCACCAGCTGCAGCGTTTCAGTCTGTCGGAAAAGGTGCTGAGAGACGCCGTGCAGGTGAACAGGTGAGTTTGTTTGTGTTTAAACATGGTAATGTTTGTAAGTTTTCTTCTTTAAGGCACCTGTGGTTCAACATTTTTCTATTTCCTCACTTCTTCCTCTTTCCTTCCCACTTCCTCTTACATCCCTTTAATTTCTCCTCTTCTTTTACTTCTCCTCCCTCTTTCTATGCTGCTGTTCTCCTCATCCTTTTTTCTTCCTCTTCTTTTTTCCTTTGCTTTCCTCTCCTCATATTTCCCATCTTCTCGCTTCCTCACTTCTCTCCTTGCCATCCTGCTTTCCCTCTACTTTCATCTCTTCTTCCTCCCCTTCTTTCCTTCTCATCTTCCATGTTTTTCCTCTCCACTATACTCTTTCCTCTACTCTTCTTTCCCCCCTTAAATTTGTTTCTGTTCTTCCTCTTGTGACCTCTCCATCCCTCTGTCCTCCTCAGCACGGCTCACGATGTGTGGAACAGTCTTGGCGAGGTGTTGCAGGCTCAGGGAAACACCGCCGCCGCCACTGAGTGTTTTCTCACCGCCTTGGAGCTGGAAGCCAGCAGCCCCATCCTGCCCTTCACCATCATTCCCAGAGCACTATGAAAAAAACACACACACAGAGCATGCCTGCATGCCACTTCACAAACACACACACGCAAAGACCTGTGAAAAGGTGTACTGCCAAACCTTCACACACACATAAACTCAGAGTGTATATAGAAATGCAAAGAGTACAAATAAACAGGCTTCCCTCTGACCACCCGTGCTTCCCACAATGCCTTTCTTGTGGCCATGTCCCACGTCTACGTGAGTGTGCGTGTCTCCTTCCCGCGCTGCGTGTTGTCTCCTTCGTCATTATTCTCAGAAGCCTGAAAGTTGTGTTTACATGTTGTTTAGTCCAAATACACACACATACACTCTGAGCAATTTTAACATAAATGGATTAGATTTCCGTTAAAAGCCAAATATGCATTTACTTGGTACTGTTCACATCGATGCAGCAGAAAACAATCTTTCAAAAGTGGATGCAAGCGCCAAAACCTGTCCGTCCCGCCCCCTTCCTGTTTTTTTTGCTTTGTTTTCTTATGATGATTTACTGAGTTCAGCAAGGTGAGAGAGCACCATACAATTTAGAGCCACCAGTGGACCCTGTTTTCAGTGGGTTCATGTCTTCATTTTTAATCCCTCTCCAGAATTGAAGCTGAAATCTTGTTTTTCTACAGTCGACTTTGAGCATCATGGAAATATCGTAGTTTAACATCTGCGACAGGAACGAGCACTGCTGCCCTGCATCTTTTCTGCTTTCTGATAATTCATCAGATAAAACTGTGTGTAGTCTCTGTGTTCTGCCCTCACCTGGTTAGTCAGTGATAAATATTGCTGTATGTGTATGCTTGTTTTTTTTTAACACTACAAAAACTCAATCCCATTTTATATGCACGCACAAACACTATAGATCAGCAGCAGATCGAGCTGGAGGTCGAACCACTGAGGAGTATTGCTGTAGCCCTGCACCCGTGTTAGCATTGTTAAAATTTTGAAGACAGGAACCCACTGTAGTAAATTCAGACTTCTGAGTGGTCAATGGTGTTTGACTCGACACTAAGATCATTTTCCAAAAGTATCTGTGCCACTTTTTGGTGCTTGTATCCACTCAGGAAAGATGCTCGTGTAATGTTATCTGCATCTGCATGGAGGGGAATCGTTGTTACTGTATACCTGGCTCAGGATCAGCCAGGTCTTTAAGGTATCCAGCGGAGCATCGACGGACTTTCGCTGAGAAATAAATCGGTGTAAATGCCAAACCTCGGGTTGCATTCGCCCTCGCGGGAAATCTGATTTCCTGCAGCTGATCTTAAAGTGTTTTTGTGAAGTTTTTAAGTGAAAAAATCAAAGTGCCACCTGGAGCAACTCAAACAGCAACAACGTATAATCTGCGGAAAACTGTTGGAATTTGTGCCACATCTTTCCTCCAGAAATCAGATTGCCTTGTTGAGCGCAAATGCACCCGCAGTGATTGTGTTGTCTTTGTGTTCCATCACCAGATTAATATTTTTATTTTGGTTTTGATTATAAATACAAAGAATTATTGCTGTATATTTCATTGTTCCACTAGTGTATTATTATTTTCGAGAGTAAATTATAACTATTTTCTGGAGAATGATGTTGCTGAGAGAGAGCGAGGTATGAAAGGACATCCTCCTGAGCTCAGGCAGTGAGTCCTTTGTGCTGTAAATGAATGATTATGAAGACCAAGATAATAAAAGTGGATAAAAAGAAGATGTCTGATGCTCTCTGGTTCTCTTGTGTGTGTGTGTGTGTGTGTGTGTGTGTGGTACTCCTCCTGGTAGCGACCTTGGGGTCGGCGGTGTGTGTTACTTTCTCAGGTGTGTGTCTGTCAGCAAATCGACGCGTGCTCCTTTGTGTGGTTTTTATCAGAGGATTACAGCGCTGACAGGTTTTGTCCTGGAGTGCCGGGAAGCCCCCGCTCAGTCTCTCCCGCCCGCCCAGTCCTGAGGTCTCTGCTGGACTCTCAGGTGTCAATAGAGGTTAATCTCTCATAAAGGTCATCACCAGGGTCCAGGTGTAAACGTTTGCACAATTCCTGCAGTTACTGCCACAATTTCAGTTTAAAAATGACGCAAAGTACTTGCTCACTGGGGTTTCTTATTATTGGCTAGTGCACAAAATGAAGCTGGTTGTAATTTGTTTCAAAAATGAAACTGCAGTCCCTCTAATGGCCACCTGAGGCTGGCTCCAAATGTGAGTCCATCAACAGGACAATAACTAAATAAAAACAAATGCATGAAGGCATAATGTACTGATGCTTTCGTCAACGAATAAAAGCAAGATGACAATATTCTCGAATGACGAAATCCAATCTAGAACTAATTAAGTTGTGTAGAAAGGCGGGACAAGTTTGGAAGTGGTCCAATCAGAAATAATCTCTATGTGCATGAAGGTTAGGCAGCAGCAGATTTGATCTGCTCCTGGGAAACAGTACAACAGGCCCAGTGTTTCTCATGAAAATACAACAAAACGAACATTTAAGGAAAATAAGACCCATTGTAAACCATGTGGAGCAATTGATAAAGACACAACAAACTTTACACTCACATTTAGTCTGCTATAAACTTATCATGTTTAGTCGGCTAAAACTGAAAGAATTTAGATGCCTAAATTAGAACTAAAACTAAATCAAAACCCCCTGGCAACCACAGGTCACTAAGAAAAAAATGTGTACTCTTCGACCAGCTGCCAAGTGGTTGCTGGCGGTTGCTAGGCGGCCACGGTCACCTGCAGTCTGCATGAGTGATGCGAACTTGTCTGCAAACACCACTGCAGCAATCATATTTCTAAAGGAAGGGCGTTTACTTTGAAGGCGAATGATCTTTTTCCAAGGTTTGCTGGCACTCAGAGACTAGTTGGCAAGTGTTTGGAGGTAAAGTTAAGCCAATCTACTAGCAACCAATGCAGTCATGAGGAAATAAGCCAGCAGCCACTCCCCAACCAGTCAGGGGAATACACATTTTTCCCTAGTGACCAGAAGTTGCCAGGAAGTTGTCATCCGGTTTGACTCGCTCCTGTAGTCAGCCTCTAGTGGCCACTAGAAGAAGTTCAATTGCTGGAAGTTGCCGCAGCTAGTCTGAGGCTTTAGGAAGGGCTGAAGCAATGATGCTGAAACTCTGCACAAGATAGGAAGTGAAATGTGATGCTTTTTATTTTTTGCATGCAGCTGTGAACAAATAAAAACATGATTATGTTCCAGTGCGTTAAGTTGTTGCTCTTACAAACATTTCTTTAATGCAAATGTGCAATGTGTGTGAGAGTGTGTGTGTGTAGGGTGTCAGAGGGACTTTTCCAGATAGCCCAGAATGTCTTGTCTGCAGATGAAGAGCTGTTGCTAGGCAACAGAGCCAGGGACAGGATGGGCAAAACAGAACGAGAGGAGGGAGCAGAAAACTGTGGGAGCTGGAGGAAAGAGTGGGAGAAGGAATTGGAGGGGGGAGGGGGGGGCTTGAGCGATGATGAAGACGACTTGTATGAGGAGGTCAAAATGAAAAGCTTCATCTTGAATATTTAAGACTGAGGTGGCGATTGTGGGATTGCAGAGGAGCAGACAGGGGGACGGGGAAGTGTAGGAGGTGTTGGATGTATCCATGCATCCCTCTGTCACACACAGAGTTAGTAGCTGGAGTTATGTAACAGTCTGAAGTGTATTAATACATCTTGCTGCTCTTTGCTTGCTATTAGTGAGCTGCCACTCCAGCATTAATAACGGGCTTTCCAGTGCAGAAGATTCTCCCCTCGCCTTCAGCTCTGCTGGCTCCAGATTGCTCTCATAAATATTTCAGCCTTTCACCTGACAGCCAGAAGAATGTAGTGAGGAGCGAGTATCTGAGGGATGGACTTATATGGGGGTACTGCAGAAGCTGAGGATTTTACTCATCTACCCCTCAGATGGAGGGTTAATTTGGGATTTAGTTCCCATTTTTGATTTTCTGTTTGTTTTCTTAAATTTCTGCTACATTTACAGGATTATCGTGGCCAGCTGATCACAACTACTCTATCATTACCAAAAGAACAAAACACATTTTTGCCAGGCACATCAGGCGGTGCTGTGATTTGCTTATATATAGAGGTCAGAACTGTTATTTGCATGATTATTTCTGCTCTTAAGTTGGGGGTTTTAACATGAGTATCTATGGTCTTGCCTTGTGTTTTGCAGCCTAGTCTATAGTCTAATGCTAATCTGAGTCACTAAAAAGGAGTGACAGTGCCCTATGAAGCATTTAGATCGGAAATGGCAAATAAAATCTCCCTATAGTACCCAGAATTGATCAGTTATGGTAAAAATGAACACAAATGTTTTGGTCAGGGCTAATACCCTCCATCCCTTAGAGTGAGGACCTCAAACATTTGGTAGGACTCAGGGAGTAGAGCTGCTACTCCTCATATCAGAGCTGGCACCGAGTTAAGACACCGGGATGGACCCTGGACAAACTGGAGAGATAACATGTGTCAGCTAGCCTGGAAACACCTCTGTATTCCCCTGGATCAGCCGAGGGAAGTAGGACCTGGCCCAAAGAACTGGTAGATGACTGAATGGATGGTTCACTAGTGGATTTATAAAATATACATTCATTAACAGTTGATTTTCTAAGACTTTATTTACCTTCAATGGTCTGGCAATAAATGAATGTGGGTTTACTAACGAGTCAGTGAAGTAAGACTGAAACAAAACATCCCAAACTGAAGCCAACAACTGACGTGACTTACTAGCCAATAATGGAAGTGTTAGTTGATAAAGCCACCCTGTTATTGATATACGGCTCCCAAACACCATCTTTTTTTATACAGTCCACGGTTGCATCCATTTATCACCGTCTTGTGCTTTCGCAGAAAGTAGTTTTTGTTAATCTCATCCCAAAATATGTTAGGTGGGTTTCAGAGTCTGTGCTCACAGTAAGACATCACACCGATTACCAATGAGTCACTTTAAAGCAGTACTTCCCCCACAGAGTTGCAGGAAAACACACAAGTCAGCTTTAAAAAAAAAAAACCCCACACACACAAAGTGGCATCTCAGTTCATGTTTGTGTTTTTATTGGAAAAACAAAATGTAAAGACGAGCATGTACATCTTGGAATGCAGATCAACTGAACCAAACAGAACAGCTGGACTGGGCCGGGCCTCGCCGCACCCATACACACACCCACACGCACGCACGCACACGCACAAACAGAAGATAGAAACACCGCAAAGCACCGACCCCCGTCCCCACTAAAGTGAACTCGTGTACGCACACAGCATTTGAGGCAATGACATTATTTTCTTTCATCACTTCCTGTTAATCTAAAACCATTTGTTTACTGAATGTTGCATCAAAAGCTGCTTGTGTACGTCGATCATCTTTAACCAACCGCCCTGAAACCCTACGACACACTCGCCGCCCAACATGGCTCAAAATCGTCACCCCGCCTTGAACAAAAGGTGAACACACGAAGGAAAAGTGACATGCCCGAAACACAAGATCTAAAATGACTTCTTATTTATTCTATTTTTATGCTTTTCTTAAAAATATCTGACTTCACTCAGGTAAGCAAACTAAAAGCCTCTTCCTTCGCTCAGCTAACCAACACCTCCTAGGCCGACCTGAGGACCACCGACTGCTTTCTCCTGCTGTGCTCTCGACGCTAACCCACGAAAAGCCTCATGCATGAAGAACAGAAATGAAAGAAGACAGGAAGTCGAGGAAGAAAGGCGAACGGCCGTCCCGAAACATCGCAGTGACGTCAGGAAGCCAGCTGCGCGGCGACCGCTCGGCTGTTGAGTTGAGATCTGATTGGGCAGCTCGGCGCTGAGATGGGAGAGGGGAGTGGGACAGAAAGGTGGGGGTACAAGCCAGTACATGCAGATTCAGTTAGTTTTGTTTTTTTTTTCCTTTTTGTGAACTTGTTTAATATGGACAGATCTGAGATTTTGAACATTCAGTTTAAGTTGTTGATACAGAACAGTATGATTAAATGTAGATTTTTGCAATAAGAGGTAAGTGAAACTTTTGACGGATTCTTTGTCGTTAACGCGAGCCCAGTTCACTTGGCGGTCATCATCTGGACAAATTCTGTGGAGAACGAAGAGGCGGAGAAAGAAAAGCCATCAGGAATTATAACACAGCAAGCCTCAGGACCAATCAGAGCTCTGGAGCTTCTAATAACAATCATGACCAAGCTCACCTTCGTAGTTGACCTGTCCGTCCCCGTCGATGTCTGCTTCCCTGATCATCTCGTCTACTTCCTCGTCTGTCAGCTTCTCTCCCAGGTTAGTCATCACATGACGCAGCTCTGCTGCACTGATGTAGCCATTTCCATCCTGACAAAGAGATGGGGAAAAGTGATCAGACCAACACGCGTGCCATTTCAGTGTTTCTCCGCATATCTACTCTGGATTTGTGAGGCAGGAGGTCAAATCCAAAAAAAAAGGATCACGTTTTACTCTTCACCACATCCTCCAACGAGGAGCACGCTGGATTAGTTAAGAGTCATTTACAGTGAGGAGCTGTCAGAGCTTCATATCAGAAGTGTTGTTATGAAAGGGGTATTTTATTTTGAAAACTGACTGGCCACTTCCTTCATTCCTATTTCTGACTTCCTGCTTTGAATATGACATGAGGCGAGTCAGTTTCCCCACACAGACTTAAGTCAAGTCGTTCAAATGCTTCAAATGCATCGGGACGAGTGCTGAGAACACACCCAGGGCTCGTATGGAAGTTTTTTTCCCCACAAGAATTTACCAGCTCTTTTCTACTCTTCTTATCAACAGGAAGACCTACACAATTTCTCTTGTTTCCAGTGATTGGAAATTGCTAGGAAAAGCAGCATAGTATGCCATCTTTCATAAATTCCCAACCATCAGAAATCAGACCGCGAGTGCCACCGATTGTTGGAGTGTTCTGATACCTTGCAAAGTGCCTTGACGCAGCTGTTATACTGACTGCAGCATTCACACGTCAAAATACGTATGAAAAACACTTAAACCAGGCCCACCTTATCAAAGACTCTGAATGCCTCCCTGATCTCCTCCTCACTGTCAGTGTCCTTCATCTTCCTCGCCATCATTGTCAGGAACTCGGGGAAGTCGATAGTCCCGTTGCCTAGGAGTAGGAGGTAAATATGACTCATCATTGATAAAAGGGTTATTTTAAAAAAGACAAGTTAGACAGATGAATCCTTCCCCCGTGTCGAGGGAGGACAGCAGCGTACCATCAGCATCCACCTCGTTGATCATATCCTGGAGTTCTGCCTCGGTCGGGTTTTGACCCAGTGACCTCATGACAGTGCCCAGCTCCTTCGTGGTAATGGTACCATCTCCGTCTTTATCGAACAGGGAGAAGGCCTCCTTGAACTCTGAACAGGCAAACGAAGGGAAGAAGAAAGGACATTTACACTGCAGCTGTAAAGACGCGAATAAAATTAGAAGTGTTTTTATGGCATCACCTTACCAGCAATCTGCTCTTCTGTTAGTTGGTCAGCCTAAAAAAAACAAAACAAAAACACCAAAGAGTGAATTAATATGCTATGTTATTACCAAGATTGATTAAAAAAAAAAAAGAAATCCAATACAATCGTTTTGGTTCAACAAACTAAGCATTTTTTTCTTTTAATGAGACTTGATTATCTTTTAAATTAAGATTAATCAGATACTGCCTCATCAGGCGTCACAGGCGTAACAGTGGTGAAAATTGCTTCTGTAAGCACTTTGTTGTGGTCGACTTGTGACATGCAAGCTTTGCCTGGCAGAAGTCTTCATCTCCAGTCATCATCTTCACAGTTTACCATAGCTTACTGCTTTTACTGTCATTTAGTGATCTAAAATTTCCTTATTTCGAAAGGCCCGTTTTAAAACTCCAGGATTATGTTACTTTGAAAGAAAGAAAGAAAGACAAACTCCACACAACATCAACAAAAACACTGACAAGGCTTCAAGGCTTTTGATAATGATATTAGGAAGCAAATGCAGGGATTAATCAGAGATCTCATTACTTGAATCCAACCTTTATATCATCAAAGTGGATATCTGTTAGGTCTGCCACCAGCTTCATTGCTTTTGGTTCTGTTTTTTTCACATCCCTGCCTCCACCTCCTATTCCTCCATCCAGTCTTAACCCTCCAGGCCCTCTGCGCTGCTTCAGATCCACACCTCTTCCTGCTCCACCACCACCACCTCCTCCAGTTTTCATGGTCAGCCCATCGAGCGCTCCCCGCACCATCACCAAGCCCTCAGCCAGGCACTCAGCCTGCTTGCTGGTCTGGACGCCCTGCTTTTTTACTTCAGCCAGCTCGGCTTTGGTTCTCTGCAGGCAGTTCCTCAGGTCCTGCATCTCTCTGACGAGGCCATCCATGCGGCTTGATGACGAGTCCATCAGCATCTGCAGGAAGGCCCTGTAGCTCCTCTCCTGCCGCTGGATCAGCTCTTTATAGTAGTGCTGCTGTTCGTCCAGGAGGTCATAAACGGTGGACAAGCTCACCAGCTCGTCCTCTGCTGGGTAGACGGCGATTTTCTTGGGCAGCATGACGAGTGGGTGATAGCAGGAAGGGCAGGAACTGGGAGGAATGGGTGGATGAAAAAAATGGTTAGACATCTATCCGTTGCTTCTGATTGGCAGAAAGGATGGAAGGAGGAGACTTTGCCATGTCTCTGAATAGTTACATATTCAGGAACATGGATTATAAGATGCTAAAAGATGTTTTTAGTTGTCCTGGATGGGCCGACGGATGCATCAGTCCTCTCGTCTTTCAGTCATTCCAGTGTAGATGGATGACAGAAGTTTTCCCCAGAGCAGAAGGAGTCAGCAGATTGGCACTGACCAGCCAGGTTGATGGAAAAGTTGCTCCACCTGTTGACGTTTTCCTGTGTGTCAGTCGCTCAGCCAAGCTTTCTATCCAAGTGACCAGGCACCGTTCTTCCCTGGCTTCAACTGCCTCCAACAACTTTGGAGAACCCCTCTCTTAGCAGTGTTTCAGCCTCCCCGACACATGGACATTCAAAACCTCCTGCGGGAGCTCAACACATGAAGAGCAGCAGGACAAAGAAATCGAGGCTGGAGGAGGTCAGTGAAACTTGTCAGTAAAATTGACATTAGGTGTGTGAGAGTAACGGGGTCCAGACCAGGGGGGAGGTCATGAGAGTTCAGTGTGTGTGTGCGTCTCCACATGTATATGCTAATCTGTCACCTGTCCTCTCACTGCTACATTTTCAGCTCCCAGGGAGGATCGGTTGGCTAGTCATCTGACCTCCTGCAAAGCATCATGGTTCACACCAGGTGGACCCCTCGGGAAGTTCCCCTTTCTCCACTTACTAATTTGTCCCCAAAGCAGGCCAAACTTACACCTTCTCCTCAATGCAGATGGGATTTTTTTTTAATTTTCAGTTTGTTTCTAGATTAAACTTGCGACATAAACTGTCTAAGGTGCCAAGACTATCAACATCTATACAGCTTTAGGGAATTCAGCTGCACTTTTGAATCACAAGGGTCATAAATAACGATAAGAGTGCCTGTAATTGATTACTACGTCTTCTACAATGAACATGTAGCTTGCAAAGGGGGAACAACAATAGTACATGCATCCTGTCCATTTGTTTAGTTTTCCATTCCATTAATATGATACAGGTATTGGGTTAATAAGCTATAATCCTCACTGGGAAGACAATATCAAGCCTGACCTCATCATTGCTTTGCTCGTGAAAGATCTTATCATCTTTATATTTGTTTTTGGATGAACTTTATTGTGTTCATGGGAAGAAATGGTAGTTTAGATAAAATCTATACAAATATAAAAATATTATCATGATATTAAGGCCCTAATTATTTAGCATAATTGCAGACTGGTTAACTAATTAGAAATCTATTTTTAATAAAGTAGATTTCCTTGAACTTTATGGATATGCTCAAAGGGAAAGCGAGAGGTCGGGCACATTAACAGCACTATTTACATGATCCTGTTTTAATAATAAAAACTGCCAGAAGCCAAACCTGAAACTGAAACTAAAATGGTAAAATGATCAATTGCACAGCCCTAATTTTAAGCACTGATATCTGAATCAAAATATGCTGTGTACTCATGTGACCCAAGGGAAAGGCGGACACTAATGACGGCACTGATCTGTGTCAGGTCGAGCGATGGTTAACAAGCTGCTAACACCTCTAATATCCAGGCCAAATTCCTCTCAAGACACCTGGCAGTAGAGCCGCGTCAAGTATGAGGGCTCTATGATTTCCTTCTACAGCACCCATGGGTATTATTCTGAAATGTAAAATTAAACTCCGTGCAGATGGCTTTGATTAAAGCTGAACACAACAGCTTCTGTTCCCTGTACTTTGACAGTTAAAGTGGACTCATGATGGACATGTCACGCAAGACAAGTCTGTCTGCTTTTAAACGAATCCTGCATATGTAAGGAAGTACAAGGAAGTACAGCTTCAGCCTACTTCCTGTGTCAGCTTTCTCACGTACGTAGCTATAGCAACCACAAACTAACCACAGGGTAATTTCCCCCGCAGGAAATGGCCTTATAAAGCAGCTTTTAGAGGTCATTATTAGGTTCGGGGACTAGATAATTAAAGTACAAACTCTGGAGCTTGAATTACATCAACCAATTAGAAGCAAGACTGAAACAAACATTAACAATGTCAAATCTAAGATAAAGCCAACAGTCTTCACTGGGGGTCATTCGACTAACTTGAACCATTCAGGACCTGAAGCGATTTTCCCCCTCAAATTCTTTCTTAGAGGGTTGATCAGCGCCAGGTGGGCAGCTTGAAATAACAGTTGTGCACCTTAAACCTGAAGGCTGTTGGTTTGTGTTCCTTGTCAGATGCAGGCATCTCTCAGATGACTAATTTTTTTGGACATGATCTCACAATGACAAAAATAAACATTATGAAGAACAGCCAGAGTAAACTATATTCTGATCTACAGGCTGAAGAACGCCAGTCAACATCTGCACGCTTGTTCTCTATATGTCTAATACAGTAAATACACACACAGATACAGAGCTTTACATCTCCTGTGTCAAACAGGTTTTTTTTTTTAAAAAAAAAACTACAAACAAACACTAATTAATCCATTATGCAGCCCTAATAAAAACAAGCTGAAAAATCAAACGCTCTCCTTTTGTAAGGAGTTGTTTTTCTGCTTATTCCTACAGAAAAAAAAAAAAAAAGCCAACTTCAGAGCCCTGTGGCCAATCCAAAAAATTCAAATAAGAGAAGCTCCAACAACAATTATCTAACACTAACTTTAAATGTGCTACTGCAGAGCAGGAATATGAAACGTAAGGCCTAGAAACACTCAAAACCGGCCCACCCAAGTAGGGCATAAACCTCTCCCAGTCGATGTGCAATGAGTTTGACTTCCCTGCTGTAGTGCTAACCAGGACAAAAGCTGCTACAACAGGTAAAGTGGAACTTTAATTACCTGGGACTGCTGTTTGCACTACTGTTAAGAGTCTGGGGTTTTCTGGGGGGTTTTTTTGCCCCTCACATAATTATATCATGCGTAATTATATTTTTAGGCAGCAGTTTATGGTTGCATGTATTTGACTTCCTCTCTTTGAAGCCTAGACACATGCTAGCTTTATTATAGACTTTACACTGGGAAGTTCCACACCTTAATCTTATTTGTAGACATAATTTTACCTGATCGGACCGATATGTAAAGATTCACGAGAGAAATATTTTCCACTATTGAAGGGCAAAAAAAGAAAATATAAATAAATAAATACATAAATGTATAAATCAAAACTTGGAAGAATGGTGGTGGTGTAAATAATTTCACTCTTCACACTAGAAACCACAGCCAGAGTCATAAAAGAAAGAAATGTTTATAGTTTTATTTTAAATATGTTATTAATTATCATCAGACTACCTGGTTAGGTTAAGGTACTGTTTTAAAGTCAGGTAGTAGTAACTGGTTAGTTACCAGTTAGGTTATGGCACTCTTAAAAACCACCTGGTGAAGTTATGACACCAAAGAGAACTCGGTTAGGTTTAGGTAATAAGGGGTATTTGGTTAGGGTATGCAGTAAAAACATAACCAGGCAAGTTACAACACTAAAAGCCACCCAGAGAGGTTTAGGTGCATTTATGTGCTTTAACCAAAAATGTTTTTTCAGTAAATGTCTTTTAAAAACATGACATCAAATACACACAGAACAAAAATATGAGCTACAAAAGGATCAATTTTTATACTTAACAATAGGGTCCTGAATATGTAAACGCAAGCAACTCCCTCCACAAGCTATAAACGACAAACCTGGGTGGGATGCTACCACTCCCCTGGAGACTAGCACAGTGCATTCATGGACACACAACCCAGGAACACTGGTGTATGTGCATGTTTAAATAGTGTAACATGGTGCTTGCAGTGTGCATCCACTGCAGACCAGACTTTTCATCTAGGATCATCAATCTGTACTTAAAAATGTGACGTCAAAACAGGTCAAACACGTTTTATTCTACGTAAAGCGTATGCATGTATGTACACCATAACCTCTGGCCTAATTAGGACTATCAGCGGCTTTTACAATGGTTACACGTTGGACTTTGACAGCTCTTATCTACAACTGTTAAGCTAACGCCTATGAAAATATGCACCCTTACATAAATGGTCTGAACATGGAGGGCAGATGTGCACCTTTATTTTACAGCTCCATGTCTCAGAATAATCAGCAGAGAGGCAACTCTCCTCCTGAGAAAATTAGCCATCCTTGAATCCTTACTAAAAAAAAAGAAGAAAAAAAAACACCGGAAAATCAGGCTATCGGCGAGGTGTTAGCTGTGATGCTAACCAGCCAAAAGCTCTACCACAACTACCAACTGTGGCCACCTGTAACGAGTACTACCTCTCAGTTCTCAGTTTGTGAGGGTGCTTACGGCACCAAAATCGGCTGCAATTTCACAGAGTGGGCTCTTAAAAAGGGGGGGAGGAAAAAGCCGCGGTGGTAATAAACTGCTCCGCCCGCAGGGTCTCTGTCTAGTACCGCCACAGTATTAACGTCCGTCCCTGAGCGCTCTACTACGGAGATATTTCAACCCCGCATCTGGCTTCCTGTCAAGTTTGCACAGCTTAAATCCACACACATCTCAAAGCACGGCTGGTTAAAATACTCACCATGTCTGTGCGGAGTTCCAACAGCGGGTCTGCTAACGCTACGGGGGAACAGAGGGAAATGGACGGTCGCCACAGAGCAGGAGGGCTGGCTGCTGCTTGGGGGCGGGTACGCAGGACAAAGCACCGCCGCACAGCTCTCACGGTATTCCTCCGCAAAGACCTGTGAGTATGGCTCCACGCGTTCATACGCACCATCTTGTCATGTTTAATTTAAATCCAGAGAAGTTAGGAATTGGACACTCACTGTTGTACCTCTCTATTTTGTACATATTGACAAACACTCCAAAAGACCAGTTGTGTAATCTGGCACGTCTCAGTCTTTTGTTCTGTTTCTCTTCATTAAGAATAACTTCTTGACAGCCAATCTGACAGAGAGACCGTTTCTGATAACGCTTTAATGAACAGGAGATGGATCTACTGAAGCTCCAGATGCATCTCTCAGGTCCTGTGTTAGGTCTTTGCTGTTTCCCTGTTTCTTAAATACTTGACTCTTGGATATGGTTCATCTGCTGCAGATATTTTTTTAAGGTCGGCACTTCTTCTCTTGTCTTTGACTTGTCCCATTCTCTCATTATTTTTTAAGGAACCACAATGCAGAGATGCCTAAAGATACAAATGATCTGTAGACACAACACTGGTCTGGTTCATCCTGTGAGTGAGGTGCCTTTTCATCCTTGAATGATTCACTGCTCAGTATTGAGTGGCTTGATAAACAAGTAAAATATGTTATTTTGAAAATAGTCAGGTACAAACAGCCAATGTCCAAAGAAAACAAGAAAGATCTTCAGAAACTCTGGAGAACTAGAACTTCACTGTCAATGTAAATGTGCTTTTGCAGAACTTTTGCTGCTTGAGTTTCAAAATTTAAATGTAGGAATAACATAAAATTTTGCTTTTTAAATGACTATAGGGACTTTTTTATGTATTTAAAACATGAATGTAAATGACAAATATGCTGTAGGCTTTACATTTTTTAAGTGGGACACCTGGTCACCCTAGTTGCATGAAATGTTGAGCTTTAAGTATCCGTCACCTGGACAGGGTATGTTATTTCACCATTTTTGACAATGTGGTGGAGCCGGGGGATCATAGCACTGAGCTTACATCATGGTGGATGACCCACTCTACCTGTTAAACCACAACCACTCCTATATGCTGCTCTCACACTTATTGTATTTTGTCACACAATAAGAATATTGTGTGACAAAAGATTACGCTCCAGGAAATAGGGGGGAAAATGCTACAGCCTGAAAAGAAATGGTAAACATAGATAGATGTAGCTTCTGGCTCTGCAAAGTGGCGTTCTCATGAAGTCCCCCAAAACCATTTTTTCATTATACTGGCCACCAGGGCGGGATACCTGTGACTTAATATCCCATTTCGGGTCATCACTAATAAAAAGTTTGGTCAATTTTTGTAAAGTTTGGTTACTCCGAAAGGAGGATTATGCAGTACATTCTCATGGACATTAGCAAAGGCAGTGCCAAAATGCCTTAAACATTTTTGTAATGGTCACCTACTGGAAAAGTTAGAAACATCTTCATGGCCTCAGTTGCTTTTTTCAGGTCACAATGAAAAAAAAATATTTTGGAAACTTTAAAGATTACCAGGATGATTATCCAGGACATGAGTTTGCAATGTACCTGGTTTACACTCATATCTACCGCTCGGTGTCACGTCTGATTTCAACACACTAGCATGTTCAGATTACCAAGTTTAGAGGAGAAATAAACATATTTACCGCACAATACAGAAAATCAAGTCTTAATTTGGGATCTAATTAATTAAATATAATTAATTACACATGGTGAGGTTAATGTTAACTAGTGAAACCAGCAGGACTGGCCTCGTGTGTCAGTCAAGCTTCACTTTCCTCCCATTAGTTATTGCTGTAATACTAAAAACATTTAAATCAGTATGTTACCTGCCCACTTTCTGCCATCGCCACCAAATACAGGTTAAGGTTTAATTTATTTTTTTTTAATTGCAGTTAAAAAAAATTACAGAATAACATTGCTCACAACCATAGCATGGTATGTGTTTGGGTGTTGTTTATGGTCATTAATTATTTTCTGTATTTACTTTAGGGTTAGATGGAACAATGGCGCTTACTTAATTTTCCAACAGTTGGTTGTGAGAATATGTGGATCTTATATTGTTTGGCTTTAAACATTAGTCTGCCCACTGCACAAAACTTGCAGTTTCACTCTGTACAATTTGACTGTTTAAGAGCATCGACAGTCCCATTAGGTTGAGGCATCAGTTGGTGAGTCAGCCCAGACATTTCAAATGTCATCTGTCGCAGGAATAATGAGAGGTGCTTTCTGAATATGGTTTGCTGTTTTCAAAATGTAAAAAAGGCTTAAAACATTAGTTTTTTCCTTTTATGCTGAAGCCACTGGAATGATTTCTACATATGGTTTTGGATTGCTCTGTATTTATTGGTCACATTAACACATATTAAAGTGATTAGGAATAGTACTGCAGGTTATGTATATGCAGAAATAATATACTTACATTTTCATCACATAATTTAGGAGTTGCCAGCCTACATTTTTGGCTTTGAGAAACTCTCTATTAGATCTTATCCAGTCTAAGTATCCTGGCTAAAGTATCATTTTAAATAGAGTGCTGTTACCTGTCAGCACCTGTCCACTCTCCAATTAAATAAAAACCTCTCTTTATCAATCGCAAGGTGGTTTCTCTTTTACATATATTTACATTTAGGGCAAAATTAATGTCATCTGGCGATCTATTGGCGTCATTATTTTTCATGACAATTAAAAATATTTAAAAAATATATCAATATCAATAATTATTATGACCTCAATAACGCGACACTAACACGCTAGCGCGGCCGCGCAGAAACTGGCGGACTACTTTGTGTAACGATCTTTTATACAGGCGGAAGGATACGCTCTAAACAGCGCGGCTGACGGCACTGGGTACAGTTGCAGTTTTGATTTTGAGAGCCGGATTCTGATTGGACAGCGCGGACCCGCAATGTGCTGCAAGCTGTAAAGAGGCTGCTGATTGGCAGGAGGGGATCTGCAATGCGTCAAACCACAACGCGTCTCCACCGCAGTTGTAGACAGACCGGAAGGCGGGTAAGATCTGCCAGGTAGTTTACAGGTGTGTGGCAAGCAGAAATTAAGACGTGGTATCTTCTTTTTATTTAAAATGACACTTTTAAATGTATTTGTAACAAAGTTTGTTGTACAATTGTTGAGTAATAGAATAAAACTGATATCCACCTGAAAGTTAAAACTGTCTGCATGAATGTTTTGTTTGTTTTCTGACTCTGTTTGAAAAACTAATTGCCCCCTGCTTTTAAATCATGAATTAACTGTGATTAACAACATTTAACACAAGTTAAATTTTACGAACCACACTCAAGAGAAGTAGACTAAAGATGTCAAAAATATGTATTGGTGTCACTTTCCCATATATTTATCATCATGTCACATTTTAAAGAAACCAAGTAACATACATCTATCAGTCTGGAAATAGTTATAAAGTTTATAAAGTCTAAAATTTTTTGGACTCCAGCAAACGCCGGAACAAGTCTTCATAAGTTAGATAGTATCCAATATCAGATTGGATACTATCTAATGGGCTAAGACTCTGCACAGGTGCGTTTAAAACGACTCCAACAGCAGCAGTAAAGGTAGAAATGGGAGAAATGCCATTAGAAATCAGAAGAGAGCAGTTAACACTGAACTACTGGGACATGGTCAAGATCTTTCAACAAAAACTATTCTCCAACCCTGCTGGGAAAAAGAGAATTGAAGAGCTTTGGGTGAACAGTGAAACAGGAAGCAGCTGAACTTAATCTGGACAACATCAGCATGAATCAATCTCTACCATTACCTGTAATACCACCATGGATACTCCCTGATGCTGTAGCAGATTTCAAACTATTGGACAAAAAGAACAAGAATAGGCGTGTTATATTAAACTCACATACAGTGCAGGCACACAAGTTATGTCAAAATCTACACAGATGCATCAAGGAATACATCCAACCAAAGTGGGATAGTATTTATTGTTCCTGAGTTTAATGTCAAAGTAAGGAAAAGGATAAGTGACGGACTATCAGTGTATAGTTTCAATACTGTTAGCTGTCCAGTGGATTGAAGATGCAAGACCACTAAGATCTGTGATATGCTCAGACTCGAATTCAAGACAGTCACTCAGCATATAGAGAAGAAGAAACAATAGAGCATGTTTTAATGCACTGTCAGAAATATGATGCCAAAAGAAGACAACTGATCAAAAACCTTGGTGATATGAAAGTGAAACTGGACTTAGTTGATTTATTTTGTAAGAAGTTGAGAAGTGAAAGTTATCAGGCCATATTTTTTTAAGGCAGACTAATTTGTTTGGGGGGGGATTTGAATTATCGATTTTTTTAATGTTTTTTTTTTTTAATATATATTTTATTTTACTTTTTCTTTTTTTTCTTTCTTTTTTTTTACATTTTGGTCCACGCTCCACACCAAATGGTGGCGGTAATGCAACATTTTGCTGTTTGCCAACCCCCAATAAATAATATAGAGAAGAAGAAGACTAGAAAATTTCAGTGGGATGTTTTTGTCCACAAATGGAGAAAACTTGGGACCGTGGTGAACGGTCCGGTCTACCAAAATTACTCCAAACATGGACAGCTAATCCAGGTGGTCACAGAAGAACCCATAATAAAATCTGAAGAACTTCTAATGGGGGAGTTTTATGGCAAAAAGCAGTGCTGACCAAAAAGAAGACAAAGGTTCATCTCACGTTTGCCCAAAAAGATCTTCAAAATGTACGAGACTTTGGGGAAGATATTTGGTAAAATCTGAGGCTTTTGGAATGGTTGAATCTCATTACATCAGACACAAATCTAACAAAACATTTTATCACAAGAACACAGCAACAGTCAAACATCGTGGGGATAGTTCAGTGGTCTGAGGCTACTTAAGTGGTTCAGGACCTGAACAACTGAACAACTTAATTGATGGAGTCATGAATTCTGCTCTCTGCCAGAAACTCCTAAAGGAGATCATCATTTTGTTTCCTTATGCTCATAAACTGTGTTACCCTGCAAGAGTAGTAATGGGTAGATGACGTCTCATGGAGTGTGTGAAACCTTACTGTGTCGACACTGTGTTAGTGTGCTGCTCAATAGCGACATCT